CGGGTTCCGCACCAGAGGTTGCCATGTATCCCAGGATTAAAAACCTCGCCTTTTACGCCTTTTCCATCATGCTGCTGGCGTGGGTTTTCTATGTGAAGAAAGAGGCGAAGTTGGCAACGTCATCAACGGACCAGAAGGCGGATGTAGGGAATGGCAAACCGAAGACTTTGATTCTGGACAATGCTGAAACAGGCAAGTGTTTGCCAAACTTGACCCTTGCCAATTCGTCTCTCACCTTCCCGGAGCTTCACCGCGTCTTCTTAACATACAAGCACTGCCGGAACTTCTCGGCCCTGCTGAAGCCTTCTGGGTGTAGCAAAGAGACGTTCCTCTTGCTGGCGATCAAGTCTTCCCCAATCAACATAGACCGGCGGGTGGCAATCAGGAACACCTGGGGGAAGGAGGTCTCCATCAGTGGCAAGCGCATCAGACTCGTATTCCTTCTAGGGCGCTCCGAGGCCAAAAACCAGGTACAGCCCCTGCACCAGCTGCTGGCTTACGAGAGCCAGGAGTTTGATGACATCTTGCAGTGGGATTTTGTTGACAACTTCTTCAACTTGACCCTCAAGGAGCTGCATTTCCTCCGCTGGTTCATGGAGGACTGCCTGCACGCCAGGTTTGTGCTGAAGGGTGATGACGATGTCTTTGTCAACACTTACAACATTGTTGAGTTCCTCCAAGAACTGGACCCTGAGCAGGATCTCTTTGTTGGGGATGTGATCGCCAACGCCCGGCCCATCAGGAACACCAAGGTCAAATACTTTATTCCAGAGTCCATGTACAGAGCCCCCTTCTATCCTCTCTACGCAGGTGGAGGGGGCTATGTGATGTCTAGAGAGACGGTGCGCCACCTCCGGAGCACCGCAGAGGACACGGAGCTTTTCCCGATTGATGATGTCTTTGTGGGAATGTGTCTGGCAAAGATGGCAGTGACCCCAAAGAACCACGCCGGCTTTAAGACTTTCGGGATCCAGAGACCTTTCAATCCTTTTGATCCGTGCTTGTACAAAGAGCTGATGATTGTGCACAAACTAAACCCAACTGAGATGTGGATCATGTGGACCCTGGTAAAGGATGACAGCATTAGGTGTGCGATGTCGGTAACGCACAACTACAGAAGGAGTTGGAAGAGAAGCTACTGATGAGCCCAGCGGGATCGTGGCTGGTAACATTTACAGGGTCCTTAAACTAAAAACTGGGTTGTGGTAGAAACGTGTCCTCTACTAATGGACTGTACTTGAGCCATAGGGGTTTGTTTTGCAGTAAGTCTTTTTCTGTCAGTGGGTTACTGAAGTCATTGGATTGTGACAGGGTGGGGATGGGACACGGCACAGGGGACTCGGCTCGGTTCCTCCCAGCCAGACTGGAGCTGGGGGAGGTCACAGCTGCCCCAGGGACGTGAGCGAGGTGCCACCTTCTATGGAGGCTTCACAGTGCCGAGGCTGGTGTCTGACCACCAGCTGAATTCAGGCTTGTGTAGAAAAGCTAATGATGACTGGTGGGTGACGGAGCACTTGAAATTACTTGGAGGGGTGGAAGAAAGGCCAGTGTGTGCTGCTGGGTCCACCGCAGCGCAGCTCCACTCTCCCAGACCAGCGATCCTTCGGGTCCTACCAGAAAGCAGGAGGAAAGGAGTGGTGTGGGGGGGAAAAAAAAAAAAAGCAAAAATGTATTGCCTTAACACAGTACGATGATCCAAGGGACTGGACTCTGACTTGTACCCTTTGGATTTTACAGATGTTTATTACAGGTCTACTTGCACTGGAAGCTTTTGCACAAACACTTTGTGACTGGGTCTGAGAGGAGCAATATGTCTGGAATAATCACGGTGGTTGTTATTGTGGCTGTGGCATTTCATGTTGTGTGGGAGGTGTTTGGGTTTGTCGTTGTAGCGTTGAGTATAAATAAAACACAGTTTTGAAAAGCGTTTTCACAGGAGTCTTCTTGGGTCTCCTGAAAGCTGAGGGAACTAAAAGCCAGAGAAGGCTGAGATCTGGTGCTGGGCATTAAAGGAGTCACTGATGTTAAAGACGTTAAGGTTATGTGGCAATGGATCCCTGCCACTTCCTTTGCCCGTGAGCGGCTGCCCCGGTCCAGACAAGACGTACGGATGCAGAAGTGATTAAGCTATGAGTGTGACGGAGGCGCTAACTTGAGGAAAGATCAACTATGAAACAGCCTGGAAGCTTTAGAAAAAGGTAGTGGGGAGAGAGAGGAAGTGTGTGATTACAGAAATCAGAGCAATTTGTGTTGTGCTGTTGTCACTGCTGTCTCGTGACAGCTGCCCAGCCTTCACTGCCTGCCAGATGTGAGCCAGAGCTTCCAGAGGTGCCCGGGAAATGCTTCCAGGAGGTCCTTGCTTGTATTCCTTAGGCAGGGAGCCCAGCAGCGCGATGAGCTCCCCGGGCAGGCTGGCTGCACTGCCTTCCAGTGGGGTGGTGCAGCACGGTACGACCTCAGGCCAAGGGACTCCTGGCAGCACCACTGGTCCCAGTTTGACCCCTCACTGCCTTGGCTTTCTAAAGCAGCGGGTATAGTTCTAGCTTAGCCCTACAGCGTGAGCCAGGCTCTAACGGAGGGAGTTGTCACTCGCGCGCGGAGCTGTTTCTCTGCCAGATGCGAGTACGTGTTTGTCTGCAAAAATTGCTCTTCCCGGGGTGAGCCTGCGCACGCGTGTGTCCCCACCCTCGGTGTGGTCTGGTACCAGCCACGACTGCGTCTTCTCACTGCAGCCCTGAAAGGGATTAATTAGCTCTATTAGCTGTACCTGAGAAATTGTCTACGCGAAGTTTCAGACACATTGGCTTTGTAAACAAGGCTGAGTGTCAGCAGCAAACCCGAGTTTTTGGGCACTGCTGCTTGTTCTAGAGAAGCGGTTGGACGGAGCGGGCACTGTGGCATCCTGTGAACTGCTGTGGCAGCATTTTTCTGAGCCACTAGATGATTCCAAATGCAAACTCAGTACCACAATGTAGAGCGCGACGTCACATCTGTTGTGGGCTTCGGTGTATGGGCTAACCCCCGATAGGCAACTCTCACTTCCTCATAAAGGTGTGGGGCTCTTTCCCACACCGTTCTGGAGGTGGTAACGGAGCCACTCGAGCTCCTCACTCCCATTTTGACTCGACTGAACTGACTGGTTGGGTCCTGTCAGGTCTGGGGGTTGGATGTGTGTGGGTACAGACTGCGTCTTGGGCAGTAAGAGCGGGGCATGCAAATGAAACAAGACATGGGGCGCCAAGGGGGCTGGGAGCAGGCTCTGGAAGGGGAAGGATGAGTTGCTTTGTAGACTCTCGTAGCAGTGCTCTTCTGTCTTAAGCCATATATGCGTATCATGTGCCATGTGAGCATCTGAGTAGAGGTATTGTGGCATCCTGACAGGAACACAACCTGTATCTGCATTTGGGTCAGGGGCCTGGCAGTTCTTCAACCGCAGCACGTAACAAACTGGGAGCAGTTGTGGTTAGAGGCTGACCTGAAGTTGCATTTGGCTCTTAAGGGTGTGGTTGTGCCACTGCTGCAAAGAATCCTCCCTCGAGAGTGGAGTTTTTGCCTAATGCCAGTCCAAAGCTGTGTTTGGGCCCTCGTGACTACTGGCCCAGCAGACACTGGCATCTTCCTGTGAGCTTTAATCCCAGACTGTGTCATCCTCCCGGGATACAGCAGCACCCAGTGAGGAGTGGGAGCAAGGACAGGCACTTTGTTAATTCCTTTACTATTTAATCTGTAAATGTACAGTGCTGTGCAGCTAAGATGGCATTTGCTCAAAAGGCAGGCAAAATGAGGCATAGATAGAAATGCTTATGCTACAGCCGAAAAAATTCCTTGTCAAGCACAACTCAACTGAGTAACAGCAACCTCGACACGAAGGTAGTGCATCAACTGATAATTTGTGGTGAAAAACTTACGATTATGTGTTTTCTTACAAAATCTGATGAATGGGGATGAACTGACTCAAATCAGTGATAAAGTTCTTGTGGATGCTGTTCCACAAAGCAGTCTCAGCTTATGTTTACATGGCCTACACAGTTAATATTGCCAATTTCACATTAAGCTGACAAGTTAGAAAATGAACACACTGAAAGACGCTTGTGGTTTTGAAGCCTGCAGCAAAACATTAAAGCTTGCAAGAAGAGAGAATTAAAATTAGTTTCCTGAAACTTGTGCTGGAAAGCATTCAGATAATGTCAAACCTGCTTTTGCTCACTGCTCTGTAGAGAAGTACACAGCAGTTGCCACAACGACTTTGCTTATAACCACAGTTATCTTGACAATCAAATCTCCCTTTGCTTTCTGGGAAAGGCAGCCGCGGTACAGGTGGTGACTCTTGGGCGAAAGAGGTTGCTGTACAGAACTGCAGAACTTCACTAAAAGCAGCCGGGGTAACTCCATAGAAAGTTTTCAGCTCTACAGCAAGTGTTTCCCCTGACTGCAATTAAGTGTAATTTGATGCAGCTGTCAGGCTCAGGGCTGTTACAACCTTTTAAGTTCAAACAGCACTTAATTTCTTATCCAAACGGGCACACCTGCAGCGAGATGGTTTTGCACAGTTTAATAAAGATATCTCCTAACAGACATCACTTACTTCACAGGTTAAAAATAATTACTTTTAAATACACTTCTTTGGCTGGTACCTCGTTAGCCTCTCAGTTAAGAGAGCTCTTGCAAGCATATCAAACGAGCGGTAGGACCCTCCCAGCAGAGAGACAATTAACAACAAGCTATCCTTGATAGCAATCTTCACATTTGCATAGTTAAACATTTAAATAATTGAATCCATAAGTATTACAAACATGATAACTTACAAACAAGATCAAGGCCTTTCAGATACTTGGAATTGACTTGATTTGGGGGAAAAAAATGGAATCATAGGCTTATTTCAGCAGTTTCCCACTATCCCATGCTTAAAAGTTTGGGACCCTTCAATTTGCGATTGACTCTCAGATATTCTGCGGTGACACTTAAGTTCTTTTCAGTCCTCCCGAAGGTAAGGGTCCTCACCGGCATCTGTACTTCCTAAAACACCCTGTGGCAAGGATGCTTCCTCTCCTTGAGCTTTTATGAGCTCTTCTGTTTGAGCTTCAGCTAACTTAGTCTCTGCTTTCTGGGACAGCTGTCGAACCTCTTGCACTTGTGATTTCACTAGCTGAATGTGGCTGCGGGCTGTCACCGAGGCTTGGTCTGCACCTGAAAAGTAATAATTTAAATACATTGCGTTAAGAGGAGTACTCAGCAAACCTTCTGTTAAGGAAGCGACTGTCTGTATCATCTGCTTTGGTAAGTGTTCTGATGGCTCTTGGGCTGGATTGTTGTTAAATGCATTCACTCTTTGTTTACTTTAAACAACAACATGCCTACTTTGAGCTTTTTTTTTTTTCTTTGCCCCCTTGAATTCTTCCCACCCAAGTGGGTTACGGCCCAGAGTCGGATCAAAGCGATCGGGTTTGAGAACTAAACCCCGCCCAGTCATCACGCGCCAGGAGCTTTCAGTCCCTGTCCTGTCCTGGCTCCCACCAGCAGCGGGAATGCCTGCGGCACTGCTGAACTCTGAATCCCTTTCTCCTCCCATACTCCTAGAGATTCTGTGTCTTTTTCAGACGCCTACAGAGTTAGGGTGTCCCTGTATATTCATTGCTTTCCTCCCTTTCTCCACTCCAGTAACTTTGCTGATTTACCGTAACTCAGTCTCACAGCGATCAAGTCTCATCACTTTTTGTGAATGGTCTAGTAGAAGCATTCTGAGAACTAGGCCTGGAAACTTCATGTGTGGTTTAGATCAAGACCAACCATGCCAAAAAATGCTTGAGGCAAGAGTTTAGTCATTTTTAAATGCAGCGTTCAAACGCGGTTCTGGGAGCCACAGAAATAAGTTCTCAGAATGCTTCTACTAGACCTGTAGCCAATAAAAGAATTTAAGTTCTCAGCATCTCTAAAAACCAGGCACTAGTTGTAAATGGGAACGTTAACGGAATGTATATTCTGTGTCTCTCTCAACTCCACTCTCATTCAATAAATGCTGCCTAAATGCTAGGGGAAAGAAATTCTCAGTATTTCTGCTTGTGCTTACCTGATTGATACGCAGCTTCTGCTGCCATCTCTGAGAGACGTAACGCTGTCATCCAGCTGGATTCCAGCCTGAGGTATTCCTG